TGTTGGTCGATAAATTTTCTCTCCTGAATCTATCTTACCGATTTACAGTCGACCATTCGTTCTTGCTTTGAATATTGCAACTACATCTGATCTAGTTCTGCTGCTATATACTTAAAGATTCTTGATAAAATAAAATAAAAAGAATCTGAAATGTTATTGGTCCTGACCTACCATCTCGGCTTCAAATATAGCTTCCCTTTGCCTTTTCTATAAATACTTTCATAGTAATTGTTCTGATGAACGTTCTTCTATATTACTTTCGTAGTAGGATCGTTCGTTTTCGACAGACCAATGCAAGTCTTGCCACGTGACGGGTGAGATTTTATTATCGAGTGGAACATACATTTGTATTTGTGTGCTTGAACAACTGTTAATATTACGTTAAGTTTAATCGTTAATTTTTCTTAGTTTTTTTTTTTTTTTTCTGTGAAAAGTTTAAATTTTCTTTTTCAGTTCTGACACCCACCGGCTCTAAATTTTTTTTTTTTTAAACACCTATTTACCACTGGACAATTGAATTATTTTTTAAATGTAAATTATACGGAATTTTCAGTTTTTCTTTTAATTTTTAATCTCCGTCCGACATTAATTTCATTTTATTTTTTTCTCGTATCTTTGTTTAATTTTCTGCTTGTTACTTCGTTTTTTTGTTTTGTTTTTTTTTTGTTTCTTTTGTTTTATTTTTTGTGTCCTAAGTAAACAATTTTTCTTGTTTTTTCTTTGCCTTTAATTCACGCCCAGTCGAAAGGCTTTTTAGTTTAGTTTCTATTTTAACTTTTCTTTTCTATTTGTTTATTGTTTGATGTGTTTTTTATTTCCTTTTCGTGTTACGTCGGCCATTTTGTTTAATTGCTAAGACATGTTATTTTTTACACGTGTCTGATTTTTAATTTTCCTTTTGTAGTGTTTCTTTTTCATAATTTGTTTTAGTTTGCTGTCCTAATTAAAAAAAAAAAAGAAAAACCTTTTTACGTTGTTGTAGTTTGAGTAATTTTTTTTCTTTTTTTAGTTTACACGTCAAGCGTTTTTTCGTCTATCTTTTTTCTTCTCGTTTCTACATTGTTAATTTTTTTTAATTTTTTCTTCCCTTTGTAGATGGACTTTGTTTAACTTGCGTATATTTTAAAGTTTTCTCGTTAAACCGTTTTTGATAAATTAGCTTGCGTTGGCCTTTTTATTTTTTCGTTTGTCTTGTTATTTTTTTTTCTTTTTGTGTATCTGTTTAAGATTCTTTTTGGTTTTTCTTTATTTCTGTAGTTTTAATTTTTTTCTTATTTATAGAATATCCCCTGTTTTCGTTTAAAAAAAAAAAAAAAAAGTACCCTCATACTGGAACTCCCCACCGAAGTACATTATGAACATGACGGAGTTCCTGGAGAGAGCCAAGAGCTACGGGTTTTCTTATTATGAGTCCTTAATAGAATTGCTGGATTTTGAAAAAAGAAATTTCACAATCTTTGTGGTCAGCAAGCGTTCGAACAAAATTGGCCGCTCCACAAAAGACACTATAATTAAATCCTTAACACAAAGAGTCATAAGAAGCAAGGGATATTTCATGTAGGTTGCGCTGTTACACACATCTGCCAAATGCGAGTACGCCTCCACTCGAGATCTTATAACAGAAGAACTCATACTAAAAACTGAATATGAGGGCAGGCGGAGGATCCTGTATCGGTATTTGAGGGGCACTCCACTCTCTTAAAGGAACACTTTGCTGCTTATCTGGCTCTCTCGACATGAACGGAGGATATAGTTACATGATTATCCTAGATCGCAAAGCCTTCATCTCCGTCCCAAACTGTCTGGATGTAGAGGGCCAGAAAATGCCGGACATTGTGACCGGCCGTAAACCAATTTGCCGGAAGTGTGGAGAGTGGTTACTTTTCCTCTTCCTGCCCACAGTTCCTGGAGTTCTGGCTCCTGCCGACACAAATCACCTTTTGTCTTAGTCTGTTTTATTTTTCCATCACGTCTCTAATGGACATGACAACGTCCATAAGCGGTGCGATAAAACCCTAAGAGGTATCAAAATGCCACACCATGTCAGTTGCTTATTAGGAACTCTTTTGAACATAAGCAAACCTGTCTAAAAATAGGGTTGTTTACGTTTGTTTTATCCTTAGTTTCTTCCATCAAGTTAACTTAACTAGGGAATGTATGTTTATTGGTCTATATTTCTGAGATGAGGTATTATGCATATCACTTACATTATTCGGACTATTGTCCTCATCTTTGTCGCCATATTTGTTACAACGTTTCGGCCGTTGTACGCTCCGGCCTTCTTCAGGTGGTTGGAATGTCTCACTGTGCCATGTTTAATGGATGTCAGTTATCTCCTGTTAATTTTCCCTCTGAAAGTTCTCCACTGCTTTAGCCAGGTATTGAACTCACACTCTTTGGGTCCTGTCACTGGATCTAAACAACGCCTTTATCCATTGTGCCATGTGTCCCCCAAGATTGGATAAAGGCGTTTGTCTATATTATAAGAAAAAAAATATATATATATATATATATATATATATATATATATATATATATATATATATATATATATATATATATATATATATATATATATATATATATATATATATATAAAAAAGGCTTAACCTGGACATTGAGTTCTATCCTCTTAGAATTTTATTCAAAAAAATATACATGTATTGTATTTATATATTTTGCATATATTATTATTATATTATTATATAATTATATTATTATTATATTATAATATTATTATTTATATATATATATATATATATATATATATATATATATATATATATTAAAAGTCAAAAAAGAATAAATAAAAATATACAAAATAAAAAATAAGCAAATAAATAAAAAATAGGTAAAAATTAATCTAAATAAATAAAATTAACAAATCGCTCCCGCTAAAATAACCGTAAGAACTAAAGAAATAAACATAAAATAGCAAAAACAAGTAAAAATAATCAATACAAATAAATAAATAAAATAATAAACAAATTAAAAACAGACCTCCGCCAAACTAGCAGAAGAGACTACGGCAATCAATCCAAAAATTGGACGAATAAATAGCTTTATCTCCCCAGACCAAAACAAACTATTAAAGAAGCGACCTAAACGATTCCTTTACTACGTTAATAAAATATCGAAAACCGAATAGAATAAATAAATATACAGAATAAAAAATGAAAATAAAAAACACGTAAAATAAATTAACCCAAATAAATATACAAGCCAATCCTGCCAAAATAACCGCCAGAATGGATTACCCACAATGCACCAATGATCAATATATATATAAATAGAGGAGGAAAATCCAACACTTGCTGCCTGACGATCGCGTCTAGCATGAAACAGCCTGTCACCTCTGAGTGTTGACTTCAATTTTCACTTTTATATTTATATTTACATACGCTCTATCTCTGATATTGAGCACTTTATCCCATAAATATAGCACACTTTAGAAATATATTTCTGTATATATATATATATATATATATATATATATATATATATATATATATATATATAAGGAAATAATCACACATAGAATCAATTAGTAATATTAATGGTATTATTGGCGACATCCATCGCTAATAATGTATAATGTATGCATTAAAAACTTGAAGACGAAATAATACTTTGTCGACCGATAGATGTTTTTTTGGAGTATTTGCTTATTGACCGTCTTCAAGATTTTGATTTTATAAAGAAAATATATGCCTGACGATGAATAAAGGATTATTCGAAAGTACTTGCATTTTAAAAAATATATAAACTGGAAACAACAGACAACAGTCTTATAGATGAGGATCACGTCACTCTATGGATTCACAGTATTTTAATGCATACATTATACACTACTAGTGATGGATGTCGCCAATAATAGCATTAATATTGCTTATTGATTCTATGTGTGATTATTTCTTTGTATATAAATTATATGCTGCCTAATGTTTTATGGTTATATATATATATATATATATATATGTATGTATGTATGTAGTATATTATTGGTATTTATTTTTCTAATTTCAGATCTATAAAAATTTCCATGAGTCGTCAAAAGAGAAAATCTGAAAAGAGAAAAAAAGTAACGTTACTGAGTGTTGGAAGGACAACATTACAAGCTGCGAAAATATTGAACGGTGATCAGCGAACAATGAAAACTAATGAGACAAAAAAACATTGGTAACATAAAGACGGAAAATAAAACAGGCTAAAAATGCTAAAAAAAAAGTTAAGAAAAATTCATACGGTTACATATGGCCAGCAAGAAAGTATTTGAAGAAGTCAAAGTTGCGAAAATAAACAGAGAGAAAAGATGAGAATACTTGACACACTGCAGACTTTCAGATCTTTCTGGAAATTGAAAATAAACTTAGTTGAAGTTTTATCCTTAAAAATCTAAGTTTGCAGACTAAATGTGACAGTTTAATTTCTATTGTTTTATCGACATCTTTGTCTTGTCTAAGAAGATCATTTGTTAAAGAATGTAGATGTCTAACTGTTCTTAAATATATTTTATTGCAATTATTAATACACACAATACTGACGGAATCTCTCTTCTTTTTGTAATGGGACTAATAACTTTGACGAATCTACTCTGACGAAGAATTATTTTAACTCAGTCAAGATAATATTATATTTAACTGAAGATACAATCTTCTGTAGAATGTATTGCAATTTGCAAAAAGGAATTAGTCGTTGAATTTCTTACGTATAAATGCATTCTTATTAAGTTACACTTTAATCGATAATTTTGAAAAAGTTTTTAAATTGCTGTAAATAATGGTTTCCATACAGCTTTTTGTTTAAATAAAATTAAGATCTTTTTGCATATATATGGACAATTATGAATATTACAGATTGTATCATTGTGTTAATGTCTTATTTTTTAGCAACATATTTTAATGTGCGTTTGGTCAGAGGAAGAAATGTTCAGCAAGGTGAAGTTGAAATGTATTACAATGGAAAATGGAATTCAATTTGTGGGTCATGGACTAGTAAAAATGCCGCTGTTGTTTGCCGAGAATTGGGCTACAAGTAAGTAGAATTCTAGGCAATTGTAAAGATCTGAAAATGATTTTAACTCAATCAAGCTAATGTTATATTTAACTGAAGAATGAAAGTTGGCTGACTGAATCGTTTTGATAAAACATCATAAAAATGATGATAATATATAATCATCGAATAGTTTATAATTTGCCTCATGTTCAGATTATATAATAAAATCCCAATACTTGACACACTGCAGACTTTCAGATCTTTTTGAAAGCGAAAAGAAAATTAGTCGAAGTTTTATCCTTAAAAATCTAAGTTTGCAGACTGAATGTCAGTTTAATTTCCATTGTTTTGTCGACATCTTTGACTTGTCTACTTAATTTTACTTTCTGGTCATGAAAACTGATATCTGAAGAATAATTTTTCATGATTAATCGAGAGCTACATTGGATGAACCTGAAGGCTGGTATAGAGGCCGTGTCATTCATGGAAATAATCAGTCAACAGGATTTAAGTGACCACAGAGAAGAGTTGGAGTATGGTTTTGAGCTAATATTATGGGCAGTAAAACTATAGATCTATCCAAAATTGATAAAGACGTCAAGATAAACTAATTTTGTAGACTTAATATCACACGGTATTCTTTCTATTGTTTTATCGACATCTTTGACTTGTCTACTTAGCTTTACATTCTGGTTAGATGTTACAGATTTCTATTCTTATGAATCAAAGATTTACTTGACTCCAACATAATGTCAGTTTTTGTAATGCAAATCAATATTTTCGCAATAGAATTCATATTAACCAAACAACGTTCGTGAATTTTCAAGGTTTCCTCAGATTTTTATGATAAATAGCCCAGATGAATTTGAGTTTATTATATTTATTTGTATTAGAAATGGAATAACGTATTTGGGCGAACGATATTTTAATGGTCTCAAAAGTTGATCATCATCATGTGATATTTGCATGGGTGTATATACAGTATATCACAGAGCAAGATCTTTAATATTACCTTCAAATATTACCCGATATTAACTTAACTAAAATTTAAGTAAAAGAGATTACCTATCTAGAAACAGTCACGAGTTAAATTCATGAACAAAATTCAAACGGATAGAGATGTCAACTTAATAAATAATTTTTTAAAGAGTTTAATAAAAGATTACTAGAAGTAAACTTATATTTTAAAATAAAATTTTGTATTTTCTATGAATATTTTTCTAATCGACTATTTCGTAGAAAATCCCCAAAATTTTAAAAATAATTTAAATCACTAACAAACATCAAATTAAATTATTTGTAGACAGTCTAGATACATTCAAATTTATATCAAACATTATAATCTTTATGAACCCCCAAAATAACACTTTCAAAGTAAAACAAAATAACAGCGTCTGTTTCTAGCCTTTTTTTTGACAAAGAAAATTAGTGACATCTTCTCTTCTCTCTTAACTTCCTTCTCTCTTTTTCTCTCTATGAGTTTTTTCTTCTCTACCTCTTCGATATCAATATATAACTTCCGTTAAGTTAACCGTTTAAATGTGTCAATATCTGCTAACTTACTCATGTCTTCTCTCTCCCCCCTTACTTCCTCACTTCGTTAATTTACATATGTTTAATACGGCCCGTCAAAAATGTGTAAATTTTCTTTTCATTTTTTGTTTGGAAGTAAAGTCTGATGATCCGCAATCCTTTCAAAAAGGCTGTGGTGAACTAATTTATTACATGGAACCTTAAAGTGGTTTGTTTTTATTTATATATATATATTAAGTCAAGTCAGTTTTAGGTGGGCAGTAACCCACCAAGCCTGCCTATTTCATGCGTTTTCATGATTAATCGATTCATTACATGGACTTACCTCAAGGCTGATCCCCCAAGGCTGTATTCATAGAAATAGTCAGATCAACAGGATTTAAAAGACCAAAGAGTTGTTTTATGGTTGGTTTTGTGCTAATATTATGGGTAGCAAAACTATAACTAATTTTATCAATTAATTTTTTTGTAGACTTAATATCACACAGTATTATTTCTGTTGTTTTATCGACATCTTATATTTGTCTACTTAGCTTTACAAAAATCTTCACTAAGTATAATATGTTACAAGATTTTTTCTTTTTGAGAATTCTTACAAAATATAAAATATTTGATTTAACTTTAAATAAACCTGCATTTAAAAAGCATTAAAACATTGAAAAATAGGAATCAATCAAATCATTTAAATTCGTTTCAAATAAATTGATATTTTGTCAAGGATTTTTCAGGTGTATTCTTATGAATCAAAGCTTAATAGATGATATTTGAACACTTTTTTTTTAGAAAAATCAATACTTTTTAGACAATCAAGTTAATATTAATGAAATAATTTTTCTTTTTGCAATTCTCATTTAAGGGCGACTATGCGAAGCTTTTCGTATTGAAAATTAAAAAAAAAAAGAAAAGAGACAGAAAATAAAAAGGATTTGGCAAAATGCAAATTAAAAACAGAAAATAAAATAATATTTATGGCCTATTTTTTCTTAATGCGACCACCAATTTAAAAAAAAGTGGATTTTTGTTTTGTTTATTTTTTATTGCAAAAAATTTAAATTGTTAAGATTTATTTTTGTAAGGTTTTATTTTTTTTTTACGCATTGAATCGCCATCTTTTGTGTTTTTATTTATATTTATAAGAGATATTGCTAATGGCATTTTTTATTTTGTTCTGATTTAGGAAAGTAAAGTTTTTAATGTAAACTTCTGTTTAAAAAAAGCTTTAAAATATATTTTGATCATTTAATTCTTGGTGTCATTTTTAAATTCTCTTTGTTAAATTTATTTTTGTAAAATCCATTGTCTTTTAGAAAATTTATAGTTGATTTCTTTTTCCCTTCAATGTCTTTCATTTTTTTTAAGAAGACGACTTTAAAAAAATAAAAAGAAACGAATTTTATCATAAATAAACTTATGCGAAATTAAGGTGATTCCTCTAATAGTACATTTATACACATCCCATTTCATGATAGTCGATTTATATAAAATTAAAATAATGATTTGAAACAATCACAAATTATGGAGAAACAAAAAAAACAAAAATTTTATAATATTGATGACATTTACAAATCTATAATTAATATTGTCATGTCACGTTGAAAAATTTATTGGAAAAATTTTGGAAAAATAACCAAGAAACAACATTATTTTTTTCGACATGGCGTAATAAATTTTACAAAGCCTTTGTCTTGAGTTTAGAAAATTTAATATTTAGATCTATTTTTTGTCAATGAAATCATTTTTTTCATTATAAATTTATCAGCCACAAAAAATTCCCAAAATTTTCAAATAAAAATTAAATCAAGAATAAATTTTTTTTTTTTCAATTTTGCAAAATATGGCAATTTTTTAGTTTAGAAAATTCACATAAGTTCCAGTTAGAGCAAAGATGATTTTTCAAAGGTTGAAGATTAAGGATAGAGATAGAAAAAGCATCTTGAATTTCAATTGATTTAAATTTTTTATTTTTAAGATTACAAAGTATATCCATTTTGTTTTTTACCATTTTTTTTTTTTTTGTTTTGAAAGTTATTTTCAACATTATTTTTCATCTTTTAGATCAATTTACCATTTTCCAATTTTTTTGTTTAAATTTCAAAAAACTACCATTGAAAAAAAAATGCAAAAACTTTACTCATTTAAAAATATTTCGATTCAAGATAGCTGAGAATTATTTTCTTATTAATAATGACACTTACATTAAATTAATTAAATTCATTTTTTTTTTTTTAAACCTTATAATTAGGAGTTTCCTAAATGTATGTGATGTGGTTTCTGATTATTTAGTTTCATTTATTTTCTTTGTTTTACAAAAACCATTAGCATCAAATTTCCAAAGGTCTGTCAAGGATGAATTTTTGCAAATTTAACGAAAATTAATTTTTTTTTAGCAAGATAATTCACATCCAAATGAGTTTATTTTAAATGTTTCAAATAAAAGATTTCAAATTTCTTTGGTTTATTTTTTTTTTGGATGGATTTTTAGAAACAAATTAAAAAACGAAAAAGGATGAAAATTACCAAGACTTTATATCAAATATATATATTTTTATTTTTCTCAAAAAAACTTTGAAAGAAAAATTAATTTGATCTTCCAAGACAGTCACAAATAATAGCACCTTTCCACAAGGTTCAAAGAAATTTTTTATATAAAAATCAATATATATTATATATATATATATTTATATATATATAATATTTAGTTTTGTTTAAAATATATAAATATATATATATTATATAAATATATAAATTATATAGATTCAATAAGATATGATGAATTTGGTTTCTTTTATTATATATATATATATATATATACTCAATATTTGAAAATTGCTGTTTTGTTATATAAATATATGATTCTGTTTGATTTATCATATATAATTATATATATATATATATATATATATATATATATTTCAATGAATTTCCTGTTCAAAAAGGTTCAAAGAAGGATGATTTATATAAAGACACTTTGAATTCTTTAAAAATTATTTTTTAATATTTTTATATATATATATATATTATATGTGATATCCATATATATATAGTTATTATAAATAAACTATAAAGTCATTTCAAGTGAATAATTTTTCCACTTTATCATATAATATATATTATTATGTGATTCTGTTGAAAAATCCAGTTATTTACAAGGTTCAATAGAAGGATATATTTATTTATATATAAATATATTATCATTATATACAAGGCAAAATTCAATAATTTTTTTATAATTTATTTATATATTTATTGATATTAAACTTGATATATTTTTTTTTTTTTGTTGCTGCTGTTTTGAATTCCTGTTTGATGTGGTTTATGTTATTTTGTACAGTTCTTTGTTTTGATTCTGTAGCACCATTCCACAAGGTTCAAAGAAGGATGATCTTTGCCAAGACACTTAGGCTTCATTATTTTTCTTTAGTTACATATGATATATATTTTAGTTGTAATTTGTTGAAATATCCTCAAGTGATGTGGTTTTGTTATTTAACATTTTTCTTTGTTTT